ATCATCCACCACTCCCCAGCCACTGTCACCATTTACCATCCCGAACTCCTGACTGGTATTCCTGTTTCCCTTCTTTATCCTGCCCCCAATCCGTACCCCTCGGAGCTGCATTTGGACACTCCACAACCACCTCCAACCTCCCACCCATCACCCTCAACCAGGCGATCCAACCATTGAGCGTTGGGCAGCGCTACCTGGCGATGGCAAAGTGCCAGGGGGCGCCGGCAAGCGATGTCATGAAATAGCGTTAGCGGAGGAGCTAGAGCGTTTCACAGTGACGGTCGAGCCGAAATTTAGTAATTGCTCCATGCGAAACCTTTTGGCGCTGATGTTGTTTTGCGGGACATTCCTGCTCCAGTACAACCATCTTCGCAAAAAAAAAAAAAACTTGTTTTCTTTCTATCTTTTTTAGCAGCGCAATTTCAGAAAATGTATGGCATTGCTAGCGCGGATTCACCATTTTTTGCTATCGACTGTGAAATGTGTGTCACAGCTGGAGGAAATGAGCTCGTGCGAATTTCACTTGTAAGAACTTTCGCTTTTTCAATTTCTTTCAGCCTTCCACGAAGTTATAATTGTCGTCGAACGTTAATGGCGCTTTCTAGCATTGTCTTGTCCCCTGCTTCTAGGTTGACGAGAATTTGGATGTGTTGTTGGATACGCTGGTGAAGCCAAGAAATAAAATCACTGATTATATGACAAAGTACAGTGGAGTTACTAAAAGTATGCTGGACAACGTATGGGTGCGAGTCGAAGATGTCCAGGTGATTTTGTTTTTTTTTCCCCCGAATAAAGAAGCTGGAAATATTTGCTTATTTCTTACCTTTCCTTTTGTTTTCGGCCTATTATTGATCTGCACGTTAATAGTTTTATATCACATACTGCGTGTAGAACGCTAAATGCAGTAGGATATTAAAAATTATTGTCAAGCATCCGTGATGAGAACTTATAGAAAGCTTTATCACACATCCTTCCGGATAATGCAATTTTGGTTGGGCACACGATAGAATGCGATCTGAATGCTCTGCGCCTCTCACATCCGTACTGTGTTGATATATCGCTTTGTCTGAATTTGTCTGGGAACGAACGCCAGCGATCTTCGTTAAAGGTAAGTATCAGTTGTTGCTCAATTAAGCAATATCTTTGTTGCAGTGAAGAGAATGTTGCAATCGCGTATCACTGTCTTTGTGATGCGTAATCGGCTCTCACTAATGTTCAGGGAGAAAGCGTCTTTTATGGAGGAAGGTAGTTTAAAATAAGATTGCCTTCTATGGGGAAGGAAGGAAGTTTCTTACATTGTGTAGTATGCCTTTATTCAGACTTGTTACGCTTAACCGATTTTTATGCGTTCTTGCATATATGCAAATGCAACAATGTATGTGTATGCGTGGTGTACGTATGTGTGTGTATGTATGTATGTATGTATGCATGTATGTATGTATGTATGTATGCATGTATGTATGTGTTATGTATGTATGTGTATGCGTGTATGTGTATTTATGTTTACCTGGTTATTTCAACTCGGCAGCCAAGCAAGCTCTGACTCTAAAATTTTTCGGGTGGATTACCCTGCCAGGTGCAACCCTAGGACTGCGGCACCAACCTTCACGCACCTCAAAGCCCAGCGTAGGAACATG